CCCTTTCTGCTAGGACAAGGAGGGCTTACCCCCAAGGTCTTACGTGCACTTTGTGGGGCAGCCTGGGCCCTCCAAGGGAAACAGGAGCCTTTTTGTGATGGCTCCTTTTCTTTGGGAGCAATCTTCATTCCGATCCCATTTTGTTGTCAGACTAGCAATTTCAGCACAGGATTATTGCAAGCCAACTACAGCGCTTTCTCCTAGGAAAGAAAATGCTTACCCTCAGGGGCTTAGGTGCAGCTGCTGGGCTGGTCTGGGCAATCCACGGGGAGCAGGAGCTTTCTCTGATGGCCCCTCTTGTCTGGGAGGAATCTTCATTCGGAGTCAATTTTGGAGTCTGAGTAGCAATAGCAGTGCAGGATTCCTGCAAGCCAACAACAAGCCTTTCTCCCAGGAATCAAAGGGCTTAGTCTCAGGGTCTCAAGTGCAGTTGGTGGGCCGGCCTTGGCACTCCATGGACACCAGGAGCTTTGTCTCCTTGCATATTTTGTCTGGGAGCAATCTTTGTTCGTTTGGAGTTTTGGTGTCCGACTGGCAATTTCAGTGCCGCACTCCTGCAAGCAAACAAAAGCCTGTTCTCTCCGGAAAGAAGGTGCTTACCCTGGGGGTCTCAGGTTTAGTTAGTGGGCCAGCCTGGCCACTCCATGGGGAGCAGAACCTTTCTGTCTTGCCACCTTCTCCCTGGGAGAAATCTTCGTCGGTGTTTAGATTCATTAGTCAGACTTGCTGTTTCAGCGCAGGACTCCTGCAAGTGAACGACAGCCCTTTCTCCCAGGAAAGAAAGAGCTTACCCTCAGGGTCAACGGCCTGGGTTTTAGGCTCTTCTGGGCACTCCACGGGCAGCAGGAGCTTTCTCTCTGCACATTTTGATGTGGGAGGAATCTTCATCCGTATTTAATTTTGGCACTCAGACTGGCTATTTTAGCGCAGGATTCCCGCAAGCGAACGACAGCCCTTTCTCCCAGGAAAGAAAGAGCTTACCCTCAGGGTCCAGAGTGCGGTTGGTAGGGCAGCCTGGGTGCTCCATGGGCAGCAGGAGCTTTCTGTGATGGCACCTCTTGTCTGGGAGGAATCTTTGTTCTTATTCCATTTGGAAGTCAGAGTAGCAACATCAGTGCAGCATTCCTGCAAGCGAACGACAGGCCTTTCTCCCAGAAAAGCAAGTGCTTACCCTTGGCTTGAAGGTCTGGGTTGTAGGTCGGCCTGGGCACTCCACGGGTAGAAGGAGCTTTGGGCCTGGACACCTTCTGTCTGGGAGGAATCTTTGTTTGTCTTCAATTTTTGCAGGCGGACTGGCAATTTCAGCGCAGCGCTCCTGCAAGCGAACCAAAGTCCTTTCTGCTAGGACAAAAAGGGCTTACCCCCAAGGTCTTATGTGCACTTTGTGGGGCAGCCTGGGCCCTCCAAGGGAAACAGGAGCTTTTTGTGATGGCTCCTTTTCTTTGGGAGCAACCTTCATTCCTATCCCATTTTGTTGTCAGACGAGCAATTTCAGCACAGGATTATTGCAAGCCAACTACAGCGCTTTCTCCTAGGAAAGAAAATGCTTACCCTCAGGGGCTTAGGTGCAGCTGCTGGGCTGGTCTGGGCAATCCACGGGGAGCAGGAGCTTTCTCTGATGGCACCTCTTGTCTGGGAGCAATCTTCATTCGGAGTCAATTTTGGAGTCTGAGTAGCAATAGCAGTGCAGGATTCCTGCAAGCCAACAACAAGCCTTTCTCCCAGGAATCAAAGGGCTTAGTCTCAGGCTCTCAAGTGCACTTGGTGGGCCGGCCTTGGCACTCCATGGACACCAGCAGCTTTGTCTCCTTGCATATTTTGTCTGGGAGCAATCTTTGTTCGTTTGGAGTTTTGGTGTCCGACTGGCAATTTCAGTGCGGCGCTCCTGCAAGCAAACAAAAGCCTGTTCTCTCCGGAAAGAAGGTGCTTACCCTGGGGGTCTCAGGTTTAGTTAGTGGGCCAGCCTGGCCACTCCATGGGGAGCAGAACCTTTCTGTCTTGCCACCTTCTCCCTGGGAGAAATCTTCGTCGGTGTTTAGTTTCATTCGTCAGACTTGCTATTTCAGCGCGGGACTCCTGCAAGTGAACGACAGCCCTTTCTCCCAGGAAAGAAAGAGCTTACCCTCAGGGTCAAGGGCCTGGGTTTTAGGCTCTTCTAGGCACTTCACAGGCAGCAGGAGCTTTCTCTCTGCACATTTTGATTTGGGAGGAATCTTCATCCGTATTTAATTTTGGCCCTCAGACTGGCTATTTTAGCGCAGGATTCCCGCAAGCGAACGACAGCCCTTTCTCCCAGGAAAGAAAGAGCTTACCCTCAGGGTCCAGAGTGCGGTTGGTAGGGCAGCCTGGGCGCTCCACGGGCAGCAGGAGCTTTCTGTGATGGCACCTCTTGTCTGGCAGGAATCTTTGTTCTTATTCCATTTGGAAGTCAGAGTAGCAACATCAGTGCAGCATTCCTGCAAGCGAACGACAGGCCTTTCTCCCAGAAAAGCAAGTGCTTACCCTTGGCTTGAAGGTCTGGGTTGTAGGTCGGCCTGGGCACTCCACGGGTAGAAGGAGCTTTGGGCCTGGACACCTTCTGTCTGGGAGGAATCTTTGTTCTTATTCAATTTTTGCAGTCGGACTGGGAATTTCAGCGCAGCGCTCCTGCAAGCGAACCAAAGTCCTTTCTGCTAGGACAGAAAGGGCTTACCCCCAAGGTCTCATGTGCACTTTGTGGGGCAGCCTGGGCCCTCCAAGGGAAACAGGAGCTTTTTGTGATGGCTCCTTTTCTTTGGGAGCAACCTTCATTCCTATCCCATTTTGTTGTCAGACGAGCAATTTCAGCACAGGATTATTGCAAGCCAACTACAGCGCTTTCTCCTAGGAAAGAAAATGCTTACCCTCAGGGGCTTAGGTGCAGCTGGTGGGCTGGTCTGGGCAATCCATGGGGAGCAGGAGCTTTCTCTGATGGCACCTCTTGTCTGGGAGGAATCTTCATTCGGAGTCAATTTTGGAGTCTGAGTAGCAATATCCGTGCAGGATTCCTGCAAGCGAACCACAGGCCTTTCTCCCAGGAATCAAAGGGCTTAGTCTCAGGCTCTCAAGTGCACTTGGTGGGCCGGCCTTGGCACTCCATGGACACCAGCAGCTTTGTCTCCTTGCATATTTTGTCTGGGAGCAATCTCTGTTCGTTTGGAGTTTTGGTGTCCGACCGGCAATTTCAGTGCGGCACTCCTGCAAGCAAACAAAAGCCTGTTCTCTCCGGAAAGAAGGTGCTTACCCTGGGAGTCTCAGGTTTAGTTAGTGGGCCAGCCTGGCCACTCCACGGGTAGCAGAACCTTTCTGTCTTGCCACCTTCTCCCTGGGAGAAATCTTCGTCGCTGTTTAGTTTCATTCGTCAGACTGGCTATTTCAGCGCGGGACTCCTGCAAGTGAACGACAGCCCTTTCTCCCAGGAAAGAAAGAGCTTACCCTCAGGGTCAAGGGCCTGGGGTTTAGGCTGTTCTGGGCACTCCACGGGCAGCAGGAGTTTTCTCTCTGCACATTTTGATGTGGGAGGAATCTTCATCCATATTTAATTTTGGCCCTCAGACTGGCTATTTTAGCACAGGATTCCCGCAAGCGAACGACAGCCCTTTCTCCCAGGAAAGAAAGAGCTTACCCTCAGGGTCCAGAGTGCAGTTGGTAGGGCAGCCTGGGCGCTCCATGGGCAGCAGGAGCTTTCTGTGATGGCACCTCTTGTCTGGCAGGAATCTTTGTTCTTATTCCATTTGGAAGTCAGAGTAGCAACATCAGTGCAGCATTCCTGCAAGCGAACGACAGGCCTTTCTCCCAGAAAAGCAAGTGCTTACCCTTGGCTTGAAGGTCTGGGTTGTAGGTCGGCCTGGGCACTCCACGGGTAGAAGGAGCTTTTGGCCTGGCCACCTTCTGTCTGGGAGGAATCTTTGTCTTCTTATTCAATTTTTGCAGTCGGACTGGGAATTTCAGCGCAGCGCTCCTGCAAGCGAACCAAAGTCCTTTCTGCTAGGACAAAGAGGGCTTACCCCCAAGGTCTTACGTGCACTTTGTGGGGCAGCCTGGGCCCTCCAAGGGAAACAGGAGCTTTTTGTGATGGCTCCTTTTCTTTGGGAGCCATCTTCATTCCGATCCCATTTTGTTGTCAGACGAGCAATTTCAGCACAGGATTATTGCAAGCCAACTACAGCGCTTTCTCCTAGGAAAGAAAATGCTTACCCTCAGGGGCTTAGGTGCAGCTGGTGGGCTGGTCTGGGCAATCCATGGGGAGCAGGAGCTTTCTCTGATGGCACCTCTTGTCTGGGAGGAATCTTCATTCGGAGTCAATTTTGGAGTCTGAGTAGCAATATCAGTGCAGGATTCCTGCAAGCCAACAACAAGCCTTTCTCCCAGGAATCAAAGGGCTTAGTCTCAGGGTCTCAAGTGCAGTTGGTGGGCCGGCCTTGGCACTCCATGGACACCAGGAGCTTTGTCTCCTTGCATATTTTGTCTGGGAGCAATCTTTGTTCGTTTGGAGTTTTGGTGTCCGACTGGCAATTTCAGTGCGGCACTCCTGCAAGCAAACAAAAGCCTGTTCTCTCCGGAAAGAAGGTGCTTACCCTGGGGGTCTCAGGTTTAGTTAGTGGGCCAGCCTGGCCACTCCACGGGTAGCAGAACCTTTCTGTCTTGCCGCCTTCTCCCTGGGAGAAATCTTCGTCGCTGTTTAGTTTCATTCGTCAGACTGGCTATTTCAGCGCGGGACTCCTGCAAGTGAACGACAGCCCTTTCTCCCAGGAAAGAAAGAGCTTACCCTCAGGGTCAAGGGCCTGGGTTTTAGGCTCTTCTGGGCACTCCACGGGCAGCAGGAGCTTTCTCTCTGCACGTTTTGATTTGGGAGCAATCTTCATCCGTATTTAATTTTGGCCCTCAGACTGGCTATTTCAGCGCAGGATTCCCGCAAGCGAACGACAGCCCTTTCTCCCAGGAAAGAAAGAGCTTACCCTCAGGGTCCAGAGTGCAGTTCGTAGGGCAGCCTGGGCGCTCCATGGGCAGCAGGAGCTTTCTGTGATGGCACCTCTTGTCTGGGAGGAATCTTTGTTCTTATTGCATTTGGAAGTCAGAGTAGCAACAGCAGTGCAGCATTCCTGCAAGCGAACGACAGGCCTTTCTCCCAGAAAAGCAAGTGCTTACCCTTGGCTTTAAGGTCTGGGTTGTAGGTCGGCCTGGGCACTCCACGGGTAGAAGGAGCTTTTGGCCTGGCCACCTTCTGTCTGGGAGGAATCTTTGTTTGTCTTCAATTTTTGCAGTCGGACTGGCAATTTCAGCGCAGCGCTCCTGCAAGCGAACCAAAGTCCTTTCTGCTAGGACAAAAGGGCTTACCCCCAAGGTCTTACGTGCACTCGGTGGGGCAGCCTGGGCCCTCCAAGGGAAACAGGAGCTTTTTGTGATGGCTCCTTTTCTTTGGGAGCAATTTTCATTCCTATCCCATTTTGTTGTCAGACTAGCAATTTCAGCACAGGATTATTGCAAGCGAACTACAGCGCTTTCTCCTAGGAAAGAAAATGCTTACCCTCAGGGGCTTAGGTGCAGCTGGTGGGCTGGTCTGGGCAATCCACGGGGAGCAGGAGCTTTCTCTGATGGCACCTCTTGTCTGGGAGGAATCTTCATTCGGAGTCAATTTTGGAGTCTGAGTAGCAATATCAGTGCAGGATTCCTGCAAGCCAACAACAAGCCTTTCTCCCAGGAATCAAAGGGCTTAGTCTCAGGGTCTCAAGTGCAGTTGGTGGGCCGGCCTTGGCACTCCATGGACACCAGCAGCTTTGTCTCCTTGCGCGTTTTCTCTGGGAGCAATCTTTGTTCGTTTGGAGTTTTGGTGTCCGACTGGCAATTTCAGTGCGGCACTCCTGCAAGCAAACAAAAGCCTGTTCTCTCCGGAAAGAAGGTGCTTACCCTGGGGGTCTCAGGTTTAGTTAGTGGGCCAGCCTGGCCACTCCACGGGTAGCAGAACCTTTCTGTCTTGCCACCTTCTCCCTGGGAGAAATCTTCGTCGGTGTTTAGTTTCATTAGTCAGACTTGCTATTTCAGCGCAGGACTCCTGCAAGTGAACGACAGCCCTTTCTCCCAGGAAAGAAAGAGCTTACCCTCAGGGTCAAGGGCCTGGGTTTTAGGCTCTTCTGGGCACTCCACGGGCAGCAGGAGCTTTCTCTCTGCACATTTTGATTTGGGAGGAATCTTCATCCGTATTTAATTTTGGCACTCAGACTGGCTATTTCAGCGCAGGACTCCCGCAAGCGAACGACAGCCCTTTCTCCCAGGAAAGAAAGAGCTTACCCTCAGGGTCCAGAGTGCAGTTGGTAGGGCAGCCTGGGCGCTCCATGGGCAGCAGGAGCTTTCTGTGATGGCACCTCTTGTCTGGCAGGAATCTTTCTTCTTATTCCATTTGGAAGTCAGAGTAGCAACATCAGTGCAGCATTCCTGCAAGCGAACCAAAGTCCTTTCTGCTAGGACAAAGAGGGCTTACCCCCAAGGTCTTACGTGCACTTTGTGGGGCAGCCTGGGCCCTCCAAGGGAAACAGGAGCTTTTTGTGATGGCTCCTTTTCTTTGGGAGCAATCTTCATTCCGATCCCATTTTGTTGTCAGACTAGCAATTTCAGCACAGGATTATTGCAAGCCAACTACAGCGCTTTCTCCTAGGAAAGAAAATGCTTACCCTCAGGGGCTTAGGTGCAGCTGGTGGGCTGGTCTGGGCAATCCATGGGGAGCAGGAGCTTTCTCTGATGGCACCTCTTGTCTGGGAGGAATCTTCATTCGGAGTCAATTTTGGAGTCTGAGTAGCAATATCAGTGCAGGATTCCTGCAAGCCAACAACAAGCCTTTCTCCCAGGAATCAAAGGGCTTAGTCTCAGGGTCTCAAGTGCAGTTGGTGGGCCGGCCTTGGCACTCCATGGACACCAGCAGCTTTGTCTCCTTGCATATTTTGTCTGGGAGCAATCTTTGTTCGTTTGGAGTTTTGGTGTCCGACTGGCAATTTCAGTGCGGCACTCCTGCAAGCAAACAAAAGCCTGTTCTCTCCGGAAACAAAGTGCTTACCCTGGGGGTCTCAGGTTTAGTTAGTGGGCCAGCCTGGCCACTCCATGGGGAGCAGAACCTTTCTGTCTTGCCACCTTCTCCCTGGGAGAAATCTTCGTCGGTGTTTAGTTTCATTAGTCAGACTTGCTATTTCAGCGCAGGACTCCTGCAAGTGAACGACAGCCCTTTCTCCCAGGAAAGAAAGAGCTTACCCTCTAGGTCAAGGGCCTGGGTTTTAGGCTCTTCTGGGCACTCCACGGGCAGCAGGAGCTTTCTCTCTGCACGTTTTGATTTGGGAGGAATCTTCATCCGTATTTAATTTCGGCACTCAGACTGGCTCTTTTAGCGCAGGATTCCCGCAAGCGAACGACAGCCCTTTCTCCCAGGAAAGAAAGAGCTTACCCTCAGGGTCCAGAGTGCAGTTGGTAGGGCAGCCTGGGTGCTCCATGGGCAGCAGGAGCTTTCTGTGATGGCACCTCTTGTCTGGCAGGAATCTTTCTTCTTATTCCATTTGGAAGTCAGAGTAGCAACATCAGTGCAGCATTCCTGCAAGCGAACGACAGGCCTTTCTCCCAGAAAAGCAAGTGCTTACCCTTGGCTTTAAGGTCTGGGTTGTAGGTCGACCTGGGCACTCCACGGGTAGAAGGAGCTTTTGGCCCGGCCACCTTCTGTCTGGGAGGAATCTGTCTTCAAATTTTGCAGTCGGACTGGGAATTTCAGCGCAGCGCTCCTGCAAGCGAACCAAAGTCCTTTCTGCTAGGACAAAAAGGGCTTACCCCCAAGGTCTTACATGCACTTTGTGGGGCAGCCTGGGCCCTCCAAGGGAAACAGGAGCTTTTTGTGATGGCTCCTTTTCTTTGGGAGCAATTTTCATTCCTATCCCATTTTGTTGTCAGACTAGCAATTTCAGCACAGGATTATTGCAAGCCAACTACAGCGCTTTCTCCTAGGAAAGAAAATGCTTACCCTCAGGGGCTTAGGTGCAGCTGGTGGGCTGGTCTGGGCAATCCATGGGGAGCAGGAGCTTTCTCTGGTGGCACCTCTTGTCTGGGAGGAATCTTCATTCGGAGTCAATTTTGGAGT